TCATTATGGTTTTGATTTGAATTTTCCTATTACTGGTGATGTTGACTGTTTTTGTCATGTGCTTATTGGCCATGTGTGTATCTTTGAAAAAATGTCTAATCTGATCTTTTGTCCATTTTTTAATTGGGTTATTTTTCTTTTTATTATTGAATTGTAAGAATTACTCTGTTGCCTGGGCTAGAGTGAGTGCCGTGGCATCAGCCTAGCTCACAGCAACCTCAAACTCCTGGGCTCAAGCAATCCTACTGCCTCAGCCTCCCGAGTAGCTGGGACTATAGGCATGCGCCACCATGCCCAGCTAATTTTTTTAATATATTTTTAGCTGTCCAGCTAATTTCTTTCTATTTTCTTAGTAGAGATGGGGTCTTGCTCTTGCTCAGGCTGGTCTCGAACTCCTGAGCTCAAACCATCTGACTGCTTCAACCTCCCAGATGCTAGGATTACAGGCATGAGCCCGGCCTGAATCGTAAGAATTATTTATATATTCTGGATACTAGTCCCATATTATATAAGTGATTTGCAAACATTTTCTCCTATTCTGTGTTTTTTTTTCCACTTTCTTGGCTATGTTCGTTGAAGCACAAAATCTTTCATGTTTTATGAAATCCAATTTATCTATTTTTATATGTTTGCTTGTGCTTTTGATATAAAAACCAAGAAATCATTGCTTAATCCTCCAAGGTCATTGATTTATGCCTATGTTTTATTCTAGGAGATTTATAGTTTTAGCTCTTACATTTAGGCTTTTGATCTATGTTGAGTTAATTTTTGTATATGGTATGAGATAGGCGTTCACTTCAATTTTGTTTTGCATGTGGATTTCTAGTTGTATCCAGAACTATTTGTTGAAAAGATTTCTTTCTCCATTGAATTTTCATGGCACTTTTGCTGAAATCCAATTGACTGTAGTCATAAAGGTTCTTTCTGAATTCTCAATTCTACTCCATTGATCTGTTAGTGTAGGTTTGTTGCAAGTTTTGAAATCAGGAGTGTAAGTCCTCCAATTTGTTCTTCTTATTCAAGATTGTTTTGGAAATGCTAAATACCTTGAAATTCCACATGAATTTTAGGATTATCTTGTCAATTTCTGCAAAAAAGGCTGTGGCTGTGGAGATTTTGAAAGGGATTGTGTTGAATCTATAGATCAATTTGGGAAATATTGCCATCTTAATAATGTTAAGTTTTCCAGTCCCTTAACTCAGAATATCATTCCATTTCTTTAGCTTTGCCTTAATTTCTTTCAATGATATTTTGCTCTGGGTGAGTAAGTGAGTGAGTGAGTAGTAAATGAATTTGAAGGCCTAAAACATTACTGTACACTTCTGTAGACTAGGTAATAGGAATTTTTCAGCTCCATTATAATCTTATGGAACCACCATTGTATATGCAGTCTGTTGTTTACCTAAACATCATTTATGTGGCACATAACTGTATTCCTCTCTCTTGTATTTTTTTGGAAAAGTTTGTGAAGGATTGGAGTTAATTCTTTTAGATGGTAGAAGTAACTAGCATAGTCATCTGGGCCTGAGCTTTTCTTTGTAAGAAGACTGTTGATTGTTAAATTCATCTCTTTATTATTGGTCTATTCAGAGTTTTTTATTTTTTTCTGGAATCAGTTCTGAAAGTTTGTGTCTGTGATGGTTAATTGTATGTAGGGAATTGACTGGGCCAAGGAGTGCCCAGATTAAACATTCCTGAGTGTGTCTGTGAGGAAGTTTCTGGATGAGATTAGCATTTCATGCGGCCCTACCCCAAGTGGGTAGGCATTATCCAACCCATTAAGAGGTTGAATAGAACAAAAGGGAGATGAAGGAAGAATTCACCCTTTGTATTTCCTGCCTTCTTGCTTGAACTGGAATATTGATCTTTTCTGACCCTTTTACTGGGATTGACACCATTGGCTCCCCCATTCTCAAGCCTTCAGACTTGGACTGGAATTATACCACCACCTTTCCTGGGTTTCTGGCTTGCAGACTGTGGGACTTCCCAGCTTCTAAAATCATGCCAGCCAATTCCTCATAATATATTAATATCTCTTCTTATACATACCCTACTGATTCTGTTTCTCTGGAGAACTCTGACCAATAGGTGTCTTTATAGGAATTTGCCCATCAATCTAGGTTAACTAATTTGTTGGCACACAATAGTTGATAGTATTCTCTCATACTCCTTTTTATTTCTGTAAGGTCAGTAGTAATGTTTCCTCTTATTTCATGATTTTGGTCATTTGAATCTTCTCTATTTTTTACTTAGTCAGCCCAGCTAAAAGGTTTGTCAATTTTGTTGATCTCTTCAAAGATCCATCTTTTGGTTCCTCTGATTTTCCCTGTTGTTTTTCTATTATCTAATTTCTTTCCCCTTCAATCTCCATTATTTCTTTCATTCTGCTTGCTTTGGGTTTAGTTTGCCCTTCTTTTTCTAGTTACTTAAGATTTAAGGTTAGGTTATTGATTTAAGATCTTTCCTCTTTCTTAATATAAATGTTTATAGCTATAAATTTTCCTCTAAGCATTGCTTTAGCTGTCTCTCATAAGTTTTGATATGATGTTTTTTATTTCATCCATCTCAAAATATTTTCTACTGTCTTTTGAAGTATTTTCTTTGATTCTATGATTATTTAGAAGTGTGTTGTTTAGTTTTCACCTATTTGTAAATTTCCAAAATTTCCTTTGTTATAATTTCGTTCCATTGCAGCTGGAGACCTACTTTATATGATTTCTTCAATGCTTGGAACAAATGAGTCTCTCACACTTTTACTGAGTGTCTCTGTGTGTGTGTGGGGGGGAGGTGTGCCTTAAAAATGCCCAGGCATCAGTTGATAATTCTGCCTTAGGCTTCACTTTCTGCTTGCACGATGCCTCAAGGTCAGCCAGAGGTGTGAGTTTAGGACCTTCTCAAGTTTTTCCTGAGCATGTGCATAGCCCTGTGCATACACAAAGCCCTACCCTTACTCATAGCCTTTTACATTCCCGGGAATATGTTGGAGCTTTCTAATGCCCCCTGTGATTCTCTTGCCCCAGCTTTTCCTTTTAAGTTGTTTTAGTCAGCTTCTTGTTTGCTCAATTGTTGTCACTGCCTCAGGCAGCTGTGATGTTAAATAATTGTTGCTGATTACTTTTGATAAATACCCAGGTAAAAGGCTATTTATACTAAGCAAGTTCTGAGTCAAGTGAAACAAATATGAATTCTTTGAATAGTGGTTTAAAGAGAATTGCCAGACAGGTCAAATAATGACAATACTCTGAGAATTACCATGGGATGGGAGCTTCCAGACTCCTCTGCTTTCTCCGATGGTGGCCAGGCACTTCTGGGTGGCTGATTTTCACCATGATTGAGGAGTTCTGGGTTTTTAAGACTATTATGGAGTTGAGGAGAAGGGGTGTGGGTCTATGGCAAGTTAAAAATGCCACAAAGCCTGCTGTTTTTTACCAAGATTCCGTTGCTTTTCTTGAATTAACTCCTTGGATTATTACAAATACTTGGTTAATTTCCAGAATCAACTGAAAATTGAAAACTGGAAATGTTGCTTTGACAATTTTTCTCAATGTTTTTGTTGCTTTTATGGAGGGTTGTATTTTTGGAGATCCTTACACTGCCATTCCTGCTAATGGCCCAATTCCTTATTTTCAAGTTAAAAATATACATACTTGGAAGGTCTAATATTTTCTCTCCACATTCAATACATTATCTAGTGTACCCCATTTAGGGGGCTACCAGTATAAAACAAAATATTTCTTCCAAAAATTCAATTGGGGTTTATATTATATCTGAAGGCCGTACCACATGGCATCACGTGATTATGACGGCTCCCTCTGGCTTCTCCAGACCTCCTTGCAGAACTCCACTTTCTTGGTCAATTGGATTGAAATTCTTAGAATCCTCTGAGACTTCCCTTACTCTCCTGTTCCCACGTCCCCTCAGAGTCTCAGAGTCTTCCTTCACAGTCTTATCCACACATGATCCCCCTTTTCCATTACCAACGCACCATTATCTCTTGCCTGCCACCAGCCTCTCTCCACCCTGCTTACCAACAATAAGTGAATCTTCATATAAACACCACTTTGATGAGTTCACTCCAGGGGCTCAGAGGCTTCCACCAGCCTCCTCTTGTCTTCTAGATAAAATCTAGTCTTTTTAATGCAAGGGTCCAAGTTTTCATAATCTGGATCCAAGTTGAACTGGCAGTCATACAACTTGGGTTCTGACTCCAGCTATGTTTGTACCTACTGCACAGAATTGTAGACTATTATTGAGCATCTACTATTTGCTCAACTCAGTTAACTCAGGAAGATATAGATAAGTAAACCTATAGTTACAATATATTGTAGCCAAGACTTAGGTAGAAGGATCAGTTAAGAAGATATCTGAGACATTTCCATTTGAAAAGTATGAAGAACTACGGAAGCGAAAGGTATTTCTGTTGTTTTTTTCTTCTCTATCTACTTCTAGTACAATACTCTTAAAGGTCAGTCAACTGTGAGTGGCAGCAGAATAGGTGTATGATAGGCTTTCTTCCCTAAATATAAAAAAGGGTTGTAAGAACTCTGGAAATTCTGCATATATAGGGAGCCACATAAATACCTGTGACCACATAGCATTTCTTTCCTCATCTTTAAAGCAGGGATGACACCTGTCCCGCCTACTCTCCAGGACTATGGTGTAGGATCAGTGGAGAATACACATGCAGGGTCTCTGTTAAATGCCTTACAAATCTCAGTTATCTGCAACAGAATTACTATAAATAAATAATAAAAAATAAGTAAAAATTATGAAGACACTTATTTCTTACTACCTATGTATGCACCTCAAGTCTTGGTGTCTTCATTTGAAAATTAGTTTGGGCAACTTAATGAGAATAAATACTTTACCTCAGTTGATTATTTTTTGGGGTACCTTTTATGAGCTGAATTCTATAATCACACTGAAAATATTAATGGTTACTGATACCTCACTTTCATACTGAAAAACAACCATGTGAGGGAAAAAAAGCAGTTACTTACGCTCTTCTTTTAACTGTCCAAGGATGGAATTTTCTCCTCTGCACATGGTTCTGGAAATATGGAAAGAAATAATTATCTCTCTAGGTTTAATCCTGAGACAAGTAAAAACAGAACAAGTACTTCCATGAGAAGATGTTACATATATTTTTAAAAGCTAAAAAAATAATATATGAATATCACTTTTGTAATGTAACTAATGGGAGAATACAGTTGTTCTGAGATGGGTAAATGGAAAAGTTACAAAATTGATGTTAGATTTCAGAAAGAGAAGCTATTAGAAAAAAAGATAGGTTATGAATGAACTTTCTTTCTTACAAAATTTGGTGACAGCAAAGATAAATTTAGAATGTATCAGTAGATAAGGATACTTTCAGAATCACACTACTTTCAGAGGTAAAAAGGGCAAACACTTAGCAGAATAATTTAGGAATTAAACTATTATAATGGGTTGTCTCTGTAAAGTCAGCAAAATCCCTTAAAAGTGAAAAATACAGCCTGAACTCACTCTGCTAATGATTTTGTTTCTTAAGACTTTGATAATAGTTAATGAATTATAAAGACTGACAAAACCAAAAAATTATATGTTCCATCTGCTTGCTCTATAAAAGTAATGAAAAATATAGTTATGTCTGGGATATGATGACATTATTAAAGATGATGCTAGCAAATAGAGATGTTTTTTGCATAATTAAAGGTTATAGTTTTGGTTGCTGAACAAAAGCCAAACATGTTATTTCATTCAGCTGGTTCAAACTCAAGAAAATAGTCATAGAATATAATTGCAATTGACAATATTCCAAAATTAATATTAGAATGGCAAATGAAGTGGATGCAATTCAATTAAACATTATGTCAGTGCCTTAAATACTTGGAAAGCTTTGTCATGTTGTAAATCAGATAACATTAGTAATGGGCAAATCTTTTACCAAAGCACAGTTAAAGTAACTAGGCAAACTGCAATTAGGCAAAATTATTCTACAGGAAACAAACAAACAAAAAAACTTTACTTGCAACCCAGGCAGATAGACAAATACAAACTTGAAACGTTGGTGAGAAACAAGAGGATTAAAATAAAAAATTCCACTACAGTGGTGTACTCAAACTGTGCACAGATTCTGCAGGAGGCATTTTTAGCAAAGGGTCCCAAGCAGGAGGGCATCTAAGCCACCACCCCCAATTTGACCAGGGCCCTGAGTCCTTATCTGCTTTGCACACCGAGTGTTTTTTTTGTAAGGTCTCATTTTTTCTCTGCCACCTTTGAAAAGGATGTGATTAGAAAGGTGAGAAACTACAAGTCATTCAGAAAAACAAGTGATATTAAAAGAAAACCTCCAGGATCTAGTCTTTGCTCTGACTTACTGAGAGTGTGCTACTGAGTTGAGCTCTCTTGTATCTCAGGATCCAGGGCTTCTAACTGGGAGCTGGACTCATGCCTAGGCCTTGCCCACTCACCTCATTGCTTCTGTTCTCTTTCCAGTGCCTTTTCGTGCCTTTCCACACTGCTACTCTACCCCTGCTGCCCTGCTGGCACCTCCCAACCCTCTTCACAGTGCTCCACTGGCCACATCTGAAGCCTCAGGGGAACCCAAGTGTGCCTTTTTTTTTTATTGAATATGAGAACTCGGCTTCTTAAAATATCAAGCACAGGATTTTCTCTAAAATCTTAATAAAGATGTGGTAGTGAAGACAGAATGAAAATGCCGAGACAGGAAAGACTCTTCAGGCTTCATTTACTAACAGAGGCTATCATTACCAACCTTGTCAGAGGACTTGCTGTCTAAACCATCATAACCAAACAGGTGCATATCATACCATTTTAGGCATTTAATTTTTTTCTTTTCTCTACCTATTGCAAAGAATATGTAAAGCTCAGTAACTACATAACCACTTAAAGATAATTTAAAATCAGCATTATATTAAATACATAGACAATGAACATAAGAGAGACTACTATTTTAGCTCTTTTATATTTGTATTTGCCATGTGTACTAGGCCTACTATTTTATACTTTTAGGTTTTATGTTAATTTTACCACCTGGGAAACAGGACAAGATTTGAGAGTAAAATAAAAGGTGTTCATCTGTTCACCACTCCACTGAATGAATGTGAAGAAACATTGCCGTTGCCTTTACCCACTTATATGCATGACTGATTGAAAGCTCAAAACAGACAATTTAGAATTTTGGTACCTGTAGTTGAAGTGCATTATTGCCTGTAGGGCATTTCCTCCGCCAGTTGAAATGTCTCCTTCAAACCCTGGCAGAAGTGGTATCACCACATACACCCGGTATTTCTGGCTTTCCCTAAAAAATTAAGATGCAGAGAAATTCACCAAAAAAAGATAAAGCATTAGGTTAAAATGACAGCCAAGCAGTTCACACTGTTTTAGGGATTGAGTGAATGGCTTCCTATAATACATTCCGTCACATTTCAGGGCTTGGTGTAGGATGAGGGTGCTGTTGGATTGGAGGCCAGAAATCCAGGCTATCAATTCATAGCCTGAACAATAATCTGAACCTGACAATAAAGTAGAAACTTTACCCATTAACTCTCTACAGCATAATCCTTTGTAGGACAAAATTCAGTGTAAGGAAGCCTTACTTGGATCTCATGGAAAGGGGAGGGAGATTATAACAAAGTTTTCAAAACAGATGGTATCATAATAGTTATATGTGTAACAAGTTGTACCCACAGTACCAAAATCAGTCTGGCAAACAGTGTGCATTCAGTTAATAATTGTTGAGTAAATCAGTTCTCACAGCTTAGATCTCATAGGCAAAAGGACATACTGGATCCAGTATATTTTCCAATACAGAAGTTATCATACATATTTAGAAACTCTGAGGTTTCAGCTGTAAAATATTACCCTTAGCTCTTTAAGAATTCTGAGTGACTAATGTTTATTTTTAAATCCCCCGCACAAATAACACAGTATTTCATGGCCCACTCTCCCAACTGATTACTGACAATCTTTGAAGGAAAAGGAATTCTATCTAATGATATAACAACAGGAGAAGAAAGTATAGCTCCCCACTTTGACCTGCATTCAGAAATTCAGAAATTTGAAAAATTATGTTCAAATAGGTACTGGTAATTTGGAGTCAGAAACTATCAAAAGTCTTTGTCTCCATTTGTAAGATATGCAGGAAGAAGAAAAAGCCTGGAAAAGAATGTGCTATCCACTGTGGTTAGCGAATCTTGCCAGTATATCTGAGAGGTGTATACTCACACAAAGGTGTTCCTACTAGTTAAGTTTTAAATCTGAGCCTCCTTAAACTTTTCATAATCTTTAATTTTTAAAGCTCATTTTCTCCTAAACAGCTAAATATTTTCTTCATGTGAATATTATTACGACTCTCTGAGGGATCAGATTTTTATGACTGATGTCTCTGAATGTCAGTGTACATATAACAGCATGTGGAAAATGAAGTTCAGGGCAGAAGCGATTGCCAAAGGAATGGAAAATTGGAGGGCCGTGAGCTTGGCTGCAGTGCTAAGAAACAAGGAATTTTAAGTAGGTCATTGTAATGACATGGATTAATCACTAGATGGCAAACATAGTTTGAGTCGGAAAGAAAACATTCAAAACATGTCAGCTGTTAAAGGTTGCTGCTTGATTAGGGTAAAAGGCTTACATCTCTAAGTGGTAAATAAGATAGTGGAAAAGAACAGAAAGAATACCTAAGCTATTTCCCCATAGCCAGGATTTAAAAGCCCGGACGCTTCAAAATTGACAGCATTTGGCTTCAACTCCCTTTCCAGAGTCATCTTACAGAGAGATCCTCACCTACATCAGCGACAGGAGACTACCGCTGCCCTTTGCTCAGAGGTGGACCTCCAGGCCAGTGCAACTCGGCTCATCAGCTCTCTGAGCCTCGAATGAATCCATGTCTTCCAGGTCACCTTCAAGGCTACTTCCTGGATCTTCCAGTAAGACTTGGCTTACTCCCACCTCTGTACTCATAGCACACGGCCAGAACGTCTGCTCGGTACTCTTTCTGCTTTGCCTCTGTCTGCTGCCTAGTCTATGTGATAAGCTCCTTTGAAACACTGGCCATCTGTCCACGTAGCTTTCTGTTTTAGCACTGCCCAGTAGAGGACCCTTGCACAACCATGCACTCGGTACTACTTGTTTTGGGAGTATGGGGTCAGGTTGGAAGAATGTTTCTGGGAAAATCTGTGGTAGAGAAGAGGTTAAGCTGCACAGGACTTTTTTTTTTTGAGACAGATTCTCACTTTGTCACCCAGGCTAGAGTGAGTGCCGTGGCGTCAGCCTGGCTCACAGCAACCTCAAACTCCTGGGCTTAAGCAATCCTGCTGCCTCAGCCTCCCAAGTAGCTGGGACTACAGGCCTGCCACCATGCCCAGTTTATTTTTCTATATATATTAGTTGGCCAATTAATTTCTTTCTATTTATAGTAGAGACGGGGTCTCGCTCATGCTCAGGCTGGTCGAACTCCTGACCTAGAGCAATCCGCCCGCCTCGGCCTCCCAGAGTGCTAGGATTACAGGCGTGAGCCACCGCGCCCGGCCCACTTTTTTTCTTTAAGTTACATTTTATTCGGATTTTTATTGTGGTAAAATATATAATATAAAACTTGCCATTTTACCCATTTTGTTAAGCATACAGTTCAGTGGCATTCGTTACATTCACAATGTTGTGCAACCATCACAGCTATATCTATTCCCGAAACTTTTTCACCATCCCAAACAGAAGCTCTGTACTCTAAATTAAGTGATAGCTACCCCATCTCCTTCCCCACAGCTCCTCGCAACCTCTAATCTACTTCTGTCTCCATGAATTTACTTATTCTGATTTTTATGTTAAGTGGACTCATACAATACTCGTCCTTTTATGTCTGACTTATTTCACTCGGCATAACATCCTCAAGGTTCGTCAATGGGGCAGCACGTGTCAGAATGCCCTCTTTTTTATGGCTGAAATACAGGGTATGTATATACCACATTCACCTGTTGATGGACACGTGGGTTGTTTCTACTTTTGGCTATCACGATATAGTAATTATTACTATAATATATATAATACTACAATTATTATAATATAATAATAATGCTATCGATATCAATGCACTGTTTCTGCTGGAGTCTTTGTTTTCAATCTTTGGGCATATACTCAGAAATGGAATCGCTGGGTCATATGGTTATTTTACGTTTAGGATTTTGAGGAGCAGCCAAATAAATTATTTTCTAATGGGTAACATATGCTTATAGTAGAAAATTTAAGAGTTAGAAGATTATATGGTGCAAAAAAAGTTCTCTTTGACTCTTTTGTCCCAGGCCCTGTTCTCCCCTCCTGAAGGCAACTCCTGTTACCAGTTTCTTCAATGTTCTTAAGAAATAATCTATGGATATATAAGCATTATTAGATACTCCTTCCTCCTACACAAATGTTAGGACACTATAAACATTTTTCTGAACATTATTTTTATCATTTAACAGGATGTCTTGGAAATCCTTCCACAGCAAAAATAAAGACTTACTTATTTTTTAACAACAGGGATATAGTATTCTACCATATCTGTACCTTAATATTTAAACCAGTTCTCTATTGATAGGCACCTAAATTGGTTCCATTTTTTTGCTATTTTGAATTAACTATTTTGATATTTACGTTGACTCATGTAAGTCATTTTTACTTTGTGGAAAAATCTTAGAAGTGGTATTGCTGGTCTTGAACACCAAATCTTTGTGGTGTTGTTTGTAAGAGATGGTTCCACTTTATCTCTGTTTTTTTTTTTTTTTTTTGAAGCAAAAATGACTACAAAATGGAGATCTCATATGTGGGATATTGAGAAATGTCCTATAAAAATCTTATAAAACATTCTTGCAAATTTTAGTTTGTAGGAATAAGAATATTCATATTTTCTTGTTTTTAGGACTTCTCAGTTCCATATCAAGGCCTTTGCTATTTTGCAATGCAGTAGTTCATGAATTTCCTGAATGATGAAAATTTTAAACTGTGTTCAGCGAACTAGCAGAAACTCCTTAGATTTTTCATTGCTGTAGAAAAAGGGCTCTGGAATTTCAAACCATAAAGTTGTGGTTGCATACAAGCCAATAAAGAGAAAATTCTATGAGACAGTATGTCCAATCTGCTTCCTTGATCCAACCCAGAGAAGACAACAATCCCAGCTGCTGAGGATTCTAATCTCCTTCTGAAACACTGTATCCTCATACCACAGGGGCTGTGCAAATGACAGCAGTCAGCTTCGGGTGAGAACCTGAGCCCCCAATGTGCAAAATTATTTACAATCTTGCTTTTAAGATCATGAATAATCACTACGCCACAGATAAATACCATCGTGCAGGCAGTTCCTTCATCCACATTGACTGAGAGCAATTTTATAAAATTGAATTTTCAGGCTTCTTGTTAATATAAGTTTTGCTTTTAAGTTTCACTAATTCTTATGCAGTGCTATGTATAATAGCTAAAAATTGGAAACAAATGTCCAGTAATAGAAGGATGGTTAAGTAAATTATGTTATAGCTATTCAGTGGAATGAGCATTTTACAACCAAGAAGGACCACTATGATGGCTCAGTTGCAAAATACTTCTGGTACTGTGTTAAAATGGCCCCAGTGCAAAGTTACAATTATAAGACAACACAACTGTAACAGGCTGATACTGTGAACTATTAAATCATTTTCCCCTTAAATGTGTTAACATCCCCATGCTGTGCCTGGACATATGAAGCAGGCATTACTCCTTGTGTGGCCTCCTCACAAAAGAACCAGGGCACAAAGATGTTGACTTCTTAGATTTGGAGAACTAGAGAGAGATTCTCTAAGCTGAGGCAGGCGTGTAAAGAAATAAGAGCAATACTCAGTGTAGGGACTCTGGCCTTTGGTCTCAAGCAGAATTCCAGGGAAAATAAGAAAGATCCCACTCCCCTTCAAATGGGAGGCTATGAGAGCCATGAAGGTCTGAGCCTTGCTTCCAGGTGAACCCCAGAGAAACATGGAGGGTATAGTCCAGCAGCACATGATTGCAGCAGGAACACAGGAGAAATGGCAGAGAAGCAGGTCTGAAAGGAGAAGTCTATGTCCCCAAGTTACATTAAGCAGATGGGTGAACAGGCTGAGGAAAGCAATGCTAAGATCTGGAAGCCCCTTTCCAAAGACACTGGGCCCCTTAGCATCTAGCCCAAGGATGGGGATGTGGAAGGAAGGGAGGCAAAGGTAGCACCCTGACCCTGAATACCAAGAAGAAATAATGAGAAATCACTGAATTTGGCCACATTGATCAGGAAGTGCCTTAACTAAATCTCCTCCTATTGTGTGG